GATTAAAAACAAACTAGCTAAATAAAAATAAAATTAATTTAATAAAAAAAAATAACAAGTAAAATGTGATCAGTCAAATTGTTAAATTAGTATTTTAGGTTTAAATCTAAGACAGAACTGAAAAATTATTATTTTTATCAAAAAAAAAAAAATTGTCTGCAATAATAATATTAGTAACTGTAAAGTGATTATAAATAATATAAAATTAAAAAAAAATAGTTTATATATAACTTAAAGATTAAAAATACAATAGTAGCAATAAAAGAAAACATAACAATAAAACAAATTTAAGCAATTAAAGAATAAATATTAGTAACAATATAACTATTGTAAGCCTGATTTTTGGAGTCACAGGTGACCGAATCGAAGCGATAATCTTGACCCGATCTAAGGTCATATGAACATGTCAGAAATGTCACTTATGTTACTTACGTCGCTTCTCTGACTTCACTTACATATGAGTTAAATAAAATATTAGTGTTTTATTAGACTTAGTTAAAATATAGAATATAAGAAATCTAATATATTTATGAAAGAAATTAACTGTAAATGTAAACAAAACATTTATTATAAATAAAGGGCATTTTTGCCTAGAGAGAAGAATAATTCACTGCCTTCCTAACAACAAATTCCCTAATAACAAATAAATATCTGACCCTTAATAAATTAAAGTCTACACTATACAAACTAATAAACTATCATAAACCCCATTGTTACTCCTATTGTTTATTTAAATAAATCCCTAAACTTGCAAGTTGATCGCTTGCCGCAAGTCACGTAACAAGACCGTTAACGTAATAGAGAAAGTTCCAACCCCGATTCGATGTAGTGTAATCCTGGGTTGAGACATAAAGAGGAGATAAAGAGAAGATAAGAGAAGACAAAGAGTTAGTAGAAGACTAGATTAAAAAAAAGACCTAGAGAAAAGAAGAGTACTTACCTACAGATAAACTACCCAGCCAAATCTAACATGCCTATTTTGACTTAGCCATCATAGGTTAAGCGAGAGTTGGATTAATTTAGCGAGAGACTTGCTGATTCCGAAATTACACTATATATATGAACTATTAGTATGACAAAATTAGAGGCTTCATATATAATAAGTTTTTTTTTTAAAAAAAACTAAATAAAGTAATTACTAAATTTCTTATATATCAAATAATAATATTTTACAAATAGTATAAGTTATTTTTTGGAATATGGGTCTTATAGCTTAGCAGTTAAGCTTCCATACCCTCTATATTCAAGGGCAACAGTTCGAGTCTGGCTGGAGGCCAAATTGAAAGATTTTAGCTTTTGTAACCTAATAAGGAGCCTGTAATTGAATGCAAAGCCCTGTGATTAAATCCAAGTACAATACAAGGATAGAAATAGGAATTCCTGAAAGGAGACCTAATTGTGAAATGCAGGCATTATGCATAATAAGCAGTTGTTACAGAAGGTTATAGAAAGATTGTATATGTAAGTCCTTTAGGCTAGGGCAATACTAACATCCTTATACCTCCCAATATAGGCAGTACCAACATCCCTGCACCCAACTTGTGGGGTACTGCTTGAAAGGATAATCAACGGATTGTGCAAATAAGTCTTAATTGGGATCCAAGAAGAGAATTTGATTAGGAGAGTAGTCTGACAAGTAACCAAAAGTGGAATGGTTAAAGAAGTGATAAACATGAGGACAGACTGTGATAAAGGATTGGTTTAACCAAAAATTGAAAACACCTCTGATATAGCTAAATAATCTAATTATAGAAGGAAAGATCTTGAAAGTAGACATATAACCTTCTTGTGCAATATAAAAGTACCAAATCAGATTCTGGTCATACCTATATAAAAGTCTATGACAAACAAGACTAAGAATCAACCAACCAATATAAGATAAGATCTGCAAGGTAGTATGACATTACTGAGGTCAATGTAACTCCCTGGGTATAATTAGAATTGTCTTGCAGGTATTGTCAAATAAGCTGAGAGCTTGCAATACATGGTAGTATGATATCACTAAGATTGGAAAAACTTCCTAGGTATAACCAGAATTGTTCTGTTTGTAAGTACAACAAGTCCCTGTCTCTATCATAAAAGGAAGCACCATGTTAGAGGTTAAATACAGTATCGAGTTACTGTATAACATTAAAACCTAGAACATCTGCAGGAATGATGGCAGTAGGTTTGACTTGAGATACAGATTGGTCAAAAAGACCAATGGTGGCAGCAAATCTGGCTTAAGATATAGGTTCATTGTAGATTCTGGACCATTGTCAGAACATCTTAGAGGAATCAATAACAGACAAACTAAAGATAGGAAGATCATAAGGATTAGACTTACCCGAGTAGAACCAATTTGGGAGTGATACAGTGATGAAAAGGTGGGAAATGTGGGAAATAAGGTAATACTAAATATAGTTAAATTAGGAAGCAGAAGAAATAAGACCAGGTAAAACATGTGAGTGGGACATATAAATATGATTTATAAAAGACAGTATCTCTGGCATTTGGGATGTCACATTAAGTTCGGTAGGTTCCTTGTCTGTATAGCAGTTTAATGTATGCCATGATTGCAAGTGATGCCAAGGTAACTGCATGCAAGCATGCAGCAGACATGCACTTAGGTGCCATAAGGATAACCAAGTGAGTCAGTGATGTTAAATTAGATAGTATATAGTACTAGTAATAATCGATCCTAAAATGTAACCATAAATTTGTACTATATCAAATTAAGGCTAATAAAAACCAACTGGCATTGTCACCAAAGTTCAAAAAAAAAAAATAAGTTATTTTTTATTGTATTTATTGCTAGAACACCTTTTTGATAAAAATAAAATTAACTACTCAAATATGTAAATATTAAAGCAGTATTTTGTTTTAAATCAAGCACTAAGTAAAATTAATTAAGTTGTATTGTAATTGATTGTATATCTGTGTGATATAATTTAAAAAAATAATAATATCAGTCTACCTGACTAATAATAATAAAGTCTATCATAAAAGTTGTATATTTATGAAGTATATTTATTAAGTTTATTGATATGACTATATAGTTGGATAGTCTTTTGATCTGATAATTATTAAAATTAGTTACAATAATAACATAATTATATTGTTAGAGTTTGTTAAAGCAATAAAGTAATTACATAATTTTTTGATTAGGTTTTTGATTAGTATTAATTAGTAATTATTAGAGTATATTTAAAGATGAAATAGGGTTTTCTAAACAAGATAAGTTTTGTTTTTTTGATAAGTTGACTTTGTCTAGTTTTTGTCTCAACCTTGCCTACTCTTGAGTGTGTTTTTAATGAAGACTGTTGGTAAGCTTGTTAGTAAACCTTGTTCTTTCAAATTTTGATTTTAGTAGGTAAATTGGCATATCAAATGACAGTCAAACCTAAGCTTAGTAGGCGATCTGTTGGATGAAAATCACGGAATTGGTGGGTTTTTTGGATCAGTAGGTTCAGAATTGGTCTGTCAGATAATAACAAATCTAGTGTAAGTGGCCTATCGGGACGATAGTCCCGAAAATTTTGCATTCGGATTAACGTTTCATGGTTACACTGTTATTCACACGTTATCTGCACTTTATTTGTGCGTTATTTATGTTAATATTGGTATTTTTACCTGCACATTTGTACTTATTTACATGTTATCAATACTCTTGAATTCTGTGTTAATCTAGGAGTTTGCACAAAGCAGCAAAGACAGAATACCCATAAGTTATTTTTCATTATATTTATTGCTAGAACACTCCTTGATAAGAGACAAAATATCGTTCCTGGTTTCGCATAACAACATCGCGCAGCTATTTTATTTAAAACCCGAGTTTACTTCTAGTCGATCCTGTATATACCTGAGTACTCACATGCTGCATAAACTTTACTGATGCCAATCGTACTGGTCTTGCGCAGCACCTTATATTATTATTTGCATGAATTTGAAATTTTGTCTAAGTGTGCATATGGAAATTGTTTTAATTGGTCGTGGTTAGCAGAATGTCTCGTGATGTACTTGATCCCAAATAAGTGGTCGGTTAAAGTGGAGTGAGTTTTAGGATTACCTTTTTGATGCAGTTAGGGTGGGTAAGTTAAACAGATATCAAAATGCAATTTATGTAGTATGTAGATCATATATTAAATTAACCCTGCTTTAACTGACCCCAAATAAGGAAATTAAAAAATAGTGGTAAATTTAACAGGAGGAACCGTCGATGTTACACGACTGATCCTTCACCCGGTGTACAACATATAAAAAAATCATTTAACAGTACCAGATCATTCCGCTAGTACATGTTATGATTATAATCCAACAGCATTTTTATTATAATATAATGGTGTTGGATTATAATCATAACTTGTACTAGCGGAATGATATGGTATTGTAAAATGATTTTATATGTTGCACACCGAGTGAAGGATCAGTCGTGTACATCGACGGTTCCTCCTGTTTGGTAAATTTCCATTGCGATCTTTTGATCTTTATTAACTGAAAAGGAAATAAAATAAATAAAATAAAATAACCATATGTATATACATATTAACATTTTACAGCATTGTTTATATTAGAGTTGCTACATATTATTTTGTTACGTATCCATCTTATTAGTAAATATAGCATTCTAAACTTCCTTTAGGATTGTCAATATTCCTAAATCTTAAATTTCTATATAAGCGTAAAAATGAGCTTTAGTATGAATAATTGTCAATTTTAAGCTTTCCAAATTTTATATTCATTCTTTCATTAATAGTTATTTTGCTTATAAATAATTAAACTATGAAGCTAATCATTACTCTTAGTTATTTGTTATTCTCATCATTTGTGATCTCTGATCCTACTACATTTAATACCAATACTGCTATTTCTACACGTCCTGCCACTAAACTTATACCAATACTGCTATTTCTACACGTTCTGCCACTAAATCTTATATAAATACTGCTATTCCTCCTGTACCCGTTCCCAGTAATGACCCTGGATACCATGTATATCTCACAGTGTACCCGTTCCCTGTAATGACCCTGGATACTACCAGCGTACCCATTCCTAGTTATGATCCTGGATACTACCATGTAGCTCACAGTGAACCTGAGTATGACCCTTATAACCCTGGATATCAAGATGATAATTCACCTGAAAATAACAATTCCCCTAGTAATGCGGATTTTCCTTCTAATAATGATGAGTCAATGTCAAGAAATGATAACTCTTATCCTAACGATGATGAATCTTATCCTAACGATGATGAATCTTCTCTTAACAATGATGACTCTTTTCCTAACAATGTTGAATCTCCTAATAATTATGACTCTTCTTCTCTCCATTATAAATCTTCATCTCCTCATATCTTTGATAGTTATAAATCTATTCCTAATGATGATGAATCTTCTCTTAACAATGATGACTCTTTTCCTAACAATGATGAATCTCCTAATAATTATGACTCTTCTTCTCTTCATTATAAATCTTCATCTCCTCATATCTTTGATGGTTATAAATCTATTCCTAATAATGATGAATCTTCTCTTAACAATGATGACTCTTTTCCTAACAATGATGAATCTTCTAATAATTATGACTCTTCTTCTCTCCATTATAAATCTTCATCTCCTCATATCTTTGATGGTTATAAATCTATTCCTAATGATGATGAATTTTATCCTAACGATGATGAATCTTATCCTAGTGATAATAAATCTTCTCTTAATAATGATGACTTTTTTCTCAACAATGATGAATCTAATGATAATGAATCATCTTCTAATGATGATAATTCACCTCTTGATGAAGATAAGAATTCACTTAATAATAATGATTTATATGCTAACAATAACCTTTTTGATGGTTATACAGTGGAGTGACAAAAATATTTTCACACCTAAGGACTTGGTTTATAACTTCAAAACATACTAATTAACCTATATCTTTGATGATCCTAGATTAATCCTTATTCTTTGATGATTATGCTATATCATTTTTAGATCATATACTTGCATAATTTGCAAGTTATTTAACTTTATTTTTAGGATTTTAATAAATTTGATAAATAGTTATATTTCTATGTAAATATCTTAATAACTGTTAATCTAATTTTAATAATATTTTATTAATTTATAAAAAAGATTTCTCTATTTATTGTATAAGTTTCATGTAATTTTAATTAATACTTAATTAAAAAATTATTAAAAACAAAAATTTTATAGTCTAATTTTTTAATCTAATTTTTTTTAATGATTATTGATTTAAACCATTTTTTATTTTAATAACTAGATAATTTTTTATAAAATAAAAAAAATTTAAATCTAATTACTGGTTGCAGAAATAATTAAAATATCTGCTATAAAATATTAAATTTTATTAGTTATTATATATCTTAATCATTTCAAAAACTAATAATAGATTATTATATTTTTTTTTTTATTTTGTATAAAAGAAATTTTACTTTTAAATAAAAAATTTATTTGATTTTAATTATTAGAAATTAGGATAATAAAGATTAAAGCTACTTTTAAATTTGTAATATTATGATATAATTCCATCAGCGATTGTTATAATTATTATATTATATAATTATTAAACCAATATTTGATTTATTGATATATAGTTTTTATCTTATATATAATTTTTAATTGAAGATTTTTATATAACTATTTTCTTTTTATTTATTGTAGTTTATTTTAGTAGCATTTATTTGATTATATATTTTTTTCTATCTTTGTGAATTAAAATAAATTCATTATCTAAAAAGTTTTAAATATTATATAATAAAATATATTAATTATTAAAAATTTATATAAATTAATAAAAAATTTGGATTAAAAAAGTGAACTTTTTCACATAAATTATTTTACCAAAATTGAACAAAAAATAAAAAAAACTTTTTAGTAAGAATACAGTGATAACTACTAAGTAAACTGACTTTGGATTTTTAATTAAACATGTTCTACACATTGAACTTGACCTAAAAATTGTGTTAATCTCAAAAACCTCTTACTAGCAACTCTAAATAGTAAAAACATTGAAAACAGTACTGCAAAAAACAACTTGCATTTTGACAAAAACAATCTTAAGAACCTTTACATTTTTATTGACTCAACATATAAACACAAGATGTTATTTCCAAAAAATATCAAAAAAACAGTAAAAAATTTACAAACTACTTCACCACAAACTCTGAACTAAACAATCTTCTAAAGCACCTTTTTCTCTTCTTTATTAGTTCATTTTACTAGCAAATCTGTTATTTCAAAGAATCCTTCACCTATAACTTCAACTACTAACCCTTCTACTGAATATACAAAAGAATTTATTAGTATTAGTATAAAAGACCCAGTTTAACTCATTTTTACAATTACCTTTCTTGTTTCTGACTTCACTGACAAATATCTCTTTATATTCAATCTTACCAAATCTGGTTATGTTTCTAATCTTATTACTTTTCTAACACAATAGTTATACAAGTACAAAGAAGTTTTTTAATCAATATTTTTTAATTTTATAATTACTAGAATCAACTCTGTAAATATTAGTGTTAAATTTCTCAGAAATACATGAAGTTGTGATTTTAGTCTAATTATTCAGTTATATGAGAAAGCACAAAAAACATATAAGACATCCAAATATAGTAAAGACCTTCTAGTAATATTTTACAATATGACTACAGAACTTAATATAGATAAAGAACTATCACAAACAAGTAATCTTATACAAGAGAATGATCTAATATTTAACCTTATTTTAAATACAAAAGTAAATAATACACAAACTCAGACTACATTAGATGTATCAAACAATACTACTCAGCCTGAACACAAGTCTCATACTAGAAAAAAACAAATGCCTCTCCTTTTTATAACATACAAGTGCAGGAACTTGCAAATTATTAGCTAATGCAACACAAACAACAACTAGTCAATACTAAAACAAAAAACAACTCAAACTACAACTGCTTAATACAGAAGGATTACCTAATCCAGAATCTTCCAACAATATTACAACATCATTACTAACATATATGTCAACAATATCTGATACACAAAATACCACCAAGTTAACCTATAGTCAAATCACACAAAAACAGCTCAATATATCTCAGTTTTATCATGTTAATGACTCTGAATAGGCAGATATCCTGCATGCCAAAATCACTAACAAAATTAATGCATTATTTGATCAACAAACCTGAACCTATAAAGCAATAGCTGAGATACTCCTAACACCAACTGGAATCCATGACTTTATTGATCACAAACTCATTACTATACCAATTCAATTTACAATTCTATTAGCAATATTTTTCAAATTCAAATATCTTGATACCAGATTTTTTATTATCTTTATCAAAAATCCAAATACCACCTTAGTATACCAAAAAGAATATACTAATTTATACAATAATACTTTGGCTATTTATAAACAAACTAACCAAATTACAATTACAGATACAGCTACCTGCAAAATTATCAATGCTATATTTAAACAAATGTTCATATTATAATATCTGTCAAACACCAACTTTACTAACTATATACCCTTTATAATCTATAAGGCAATTTACTATGCAAGAGATTTCTTACAAATCTAAAATAAGAATGAACAAACACCTACATCTATTTAAGTTACAATTAATAGTACACTTCAAGAAAAACTAATACCTCTACTATTAACCCTAATGAAATCTCTGAACATATTCAAGAAATCTTACTATTTATATTTCTAATTATACAAAAGTCATATACAAGAGTTACTGTCACTGCACTAAGGAAAATTTTTAAATTAGACAAGCTAACAGACAACTACTTTACAAAACTTTCAACATTATCAGAAAGATACCAAGAACTTTTTTCAAAACTAAAAACATATTTTTCAATTACAAACGGACAATTATTACAATACTTTTCATATTTTAGACACAAACTTGCTAACTACTATACCTTTACTGTAATCCCAAATTCTTATTTCCAACTTTCTTCACCAAAACAACCATTACCTACTACATATTAGAAACTTAATTATAAAGTCAAAGGTCTTTTTTCATTTAACTCATCTATATCCAAAATACTATTAGCTGAGGCAGTTACATAACTAAAAAAGTATTAATATTTAAACTACTTCTCAGTAATTACTTTATTACTAAACTATTATTGCCTAATAATTCAAACCTTATTTGCACTAATTCACAATACACTTACCCAATAACTGATAATGCAATAGCAAAAGGATTTCTTGAGGAAGCTTTACAATGATATCATATTTGATTCCCAATATCTAAACACATAATATAAGCAAACTCTATTAACAAACCTGACTTATCAACAGACAGTAAAGAGCTTACTAAACTCAACATCATACTACCTATTACAACATCTTAACAACTTATCCAAATTGTAAAAACACTTTGACAACACTTTTATTTTAAACAACTACCATCATTATAGATTAATATTACAAACCCTCTTGTTCCAACTGAAAAGCAAAAAAAACAATGTTAACAGTAATAAATCTACTCAGACAACACAAGCTCACCCACCTTATACCTGACAACATAGAAGATATTAACTTTGTATTAACTCAAAATAATATACAACTCATTTTTCCAATAACCTTACAATTACAGATAACACCAACAATGCAAACTCTTAGACAACAATATACTATTTGCACAATTTCAGACTTTTTACTTAACCTACCATTATTATCTACACTAATATGAGAAATATTTAACACCTCTCTATAACACCAAATGAGCCACTTACAATTAATACAATGGTAATGGACATCTTCTAATTTTATATCAATACAAAACATCATTTTACCCAACAACAAACTTATACACCAACACTTAACCATCACAACACACAATATTCAAGAATACAATAATATTACCAAAAGGCAATTATGACTAGATTATTGCATTAGCCAACAGTTTGACATTATATCACTTATTGAAATAAAACTAACATAATCTCAATATACACAAAATATATTTTATAACAATAACTACAAATGCTTTATATTAAACAACAATATTACCAATCCTTAACACCCAAAAGAATCTAGTACTGGAACAATAATTCTCATAAACCAATTACTTACAACATATATGCATGATATTCAAACTCTTTAAGGCACAGCTATAGCAATTGACCTTTACCTACCTTATAAAAATAACTTTTGTATTATCTCCACCTACTTATCTAATAACTTTAATACTAACAAACAAATACAAAACTAAATTATCTCTTGGATCACACAAGCACAACAACTAAACATTATATCAGTAATTATGAAAAACTTTAACCAGAACCTTAATAGACCACAGCACTCTATACTATACAAATACCTGATATTATGCAACTTTACTTTACTAGTACATACTTATTATCCAAATACTTCTACCTAGCAATAGAAAGAGCTTTCTAGCCAAATTGATGAAATCTGGATCCCACAACAAATTCTATATATATTTACAATATCTACTATTACCTATGCAACTAGGATCACTAATAGTGACCACCACATTATTCATACTAACCTTCAGATATACACTAAACCAACCAAATAATACAAAAAATACAAATACAAGGTATTTAAATATAATACTATGACAAATGAACTTTGAAAAGAATTCTAACAAATCAGTTATTAACTATTATCCTCAATTACAGAAACAACAGCATTTATACTAAGTGTTAATTAACTCTGGCATTAGATCTAACATGCAGTACTTACTGCAGCCAATACATATATACTATTTATCTTTTATTTACAAAACTTTTTATCTATTGTCTCAAAAACTTATACAGTACTAAACACCTATATTAACATACTTCATATTCTTGTTAACCTTTATTCTAATACCAATAACAATATTCAAACTAACCTTATATTACTAAACAATTTAAACCAATAAATACAAACAATCCAATTACTTACTAACATTACCATTACACCTCTTACTCAGCTGGATATTAATAGTAGCCAACTCTCTAATACTATTAATATAATGAAAGAGCATTATAAAACACTATATTATACTTGTGAAAGTAAAAACAAACCGGCATTATTCCAGTACATTACTCAACAGATTGAAAAATGCTACAACAACTTTACATCTAACACTACAATAATAATCAACAGCATACTCAATAGACATACTGACACAGTATTATTCGACAACATAAAACTTATGAACTCTATAATAACTAAACTACAAGAAATTCATCAATATATAAAAAACCATTTTACAAACTGGACCAAATACAATCCATATAACCCAGCCCTTTGAGAACAATGAAAAAATAAAAATAACTCTAAAATAAATATACTTTTTAGCATAGTATGACATAATAACAAATCCAATAACTTAACAAGAAATAATTAATATATTAAATACCTCATCCAATAGTAAAGCACCAGGACCTACACTTATTACCAATAAAATGCTCAAACATATCTACCCTCATATCATTAAACTTTTAACAATCTTATTTAATTTATGCTTAAATATTGCAGATATTTCTACTATTTAGAAACAAAGCAAAATATATTCAATATCAAAAAAACCAACCTTCACAGGTCAACTTAACCATACCAGACCTATAACACTCCTTGAACATACTCAAAAAATTTTCACAAAAATTATTACTTACAGTCTTAGTGAAATAATGTCTTAATATCCTATTTTAGATCCACACAACTTCATAGCCTTAACTTATTCTTCTACAACACAAGTCATACAAATTCTTACAAACATACTACAAGAAGCACAAACACAAAACAAAGAAATATGGCTCTTGGCTCAGGATATGAGCAAGTTATATGACTCTGTACACATTCCACTACTCCAACATGCCCTAACTCAAATAAACATTTCTCACAATATACAACAACTTATAATTAATATATATAAAAACCTATTCAACTCAGTTATTACAAACTTTGGCTTTACATCTAGCTATTATGTACAGAATAGCATAGACCAAGGAGAAACAATCATACTACTGCTTTGGTGCATATACTATAACCTACTAATAACTCATATTCATTCTAAATTTCAAAATTACAATATGTCAATAACACCTTTACCTAACACATAACAACTAACATATTACATCTTAGTATTAGCCTATATAGATGACATATTATGGCTAGCTTCTAACAAACATACTCTTTAACAAATTGTTAACTCTGCTAAATCTTTCTACAACATGGCTAACATTACAGTTAATTCTACCAAATTAATTCTTGCAACAAATTATACCAAAGATCAAATCCAACAATTAACATTGCTAATATAATAATACATACCATATCTTTAAAGAATATCTTTTACTACTTGGGCTGTTGGTTCATACTACTTAGTTACCACAAACACATTTATAACCAGTTTACTGCTAAGGCTACCAACCTCATTAGTACTATAAAAAACAAAAAGATTACAAAAAAGCAAGCAATTTATATCATTAATACTATACTTATACCTCAATTTTCATACAGAACATTAAACATATTTGTCTACCAATATAACTTCCAAAGCATTACTAACTCATACATGCAAGTAGCAAAACACAAAGCTGGACTTGCTTTAACAATACCCAACTTTACAATATTTTATCATCAAATATATAACCTATGTAGCCTACCAGATATTCAAACACAAAACTATATTTTCTCTCTTTATATACAACTAAACAACCTACTAACAGCCCCATCCATAAAAATTCTATTATAATACCTTCAACAAGCAACACTCTCACCTAACAACATTCTACATTCTTAGATTATATACTACCTACCAAGTTTCACAACACACTCATAGCCCAAACTATCAGAACAGCACACCAATTTGAAATCAACATCCAAAACCTTTCTAATCTCTGGCCAATACCAACTATATACAAAGGCACCTTAATTGATACACTAACCAAACATTGTACTAAATCAACACAAATTAAGCCACTAACCAACAAAGCAAACATCTATTCTATTGAATAACTTACTAATTACACAAATAAACAGCTTCTCTCATGGCAGTGTATTGCATACAAAACACAAAAAATACCAAGAAGAAGAATTCCTAAGTGGTTTCAGAAACTTCAACATACCTTTTATGCAACTACTACACTATACATTCCTACAATTACCCCCAACACATTTACTACAAACTCTATAGCACTAAAGAGAAGCACCTGAATTTTTAGCAAAATTAAAAGTACAACAATCATAGGAAAAATACAAAAAATCTCCAATACAACTAACATAGTATACATTAAACATTATCAACTTCTACCATATAAACTACAGTATACTGCATCACTTACTAAATGTTTTTAATGCAAACATTCCTATACTGCCAATACTATCAGCAATGCATAATCATACTTACTATATTTCAATACATTGTGATCAAAGTATCTAGCTCTAAAGTTCTTCAAACAGATATTAATGATCTAATACAGCATTATCATAAACTTAATTTACAGACTGCATTATATTTAACAAAGAAAACATTATCTTGAAACCTATCTACTAGCTCAGTTACTTACCAAAATTTACAACTACCTACTACCATAACTATTCAAAACAATTTTACTTTACCAAATATTCTTACCAAGCACTGCTTGTATATGACTATTCCACCTTACTACTATCAACTTACAGACTAAAAAACTTCAACTATCTCTATGCAACTATGATTCAAGCAAATACACCACAGTCACAGGCCTAATTTGCATGGACTCTTACATTAACTAACATAACATTCTCATTACAAATTACTTACTGGCCTTTTATAACATATGCATATCTTATTGGAATTACAACAATCCTAGTAATAGCTCTACAGAACTGCCAAATAACTATTTACATGACCCACAAGCCAACAACTAACTACATTAACTCCCCCTTTGCACCAATACCAAACTCTACTCTTACCCTTCAAAAACACAACTACTGGCTACTTAAATTACTAATACAGACTATAATCACTCACAAAGGCATCAAAATTAAAGGTATCCATATAGAGAATTTGGACAACTACTCTTTATATAACAAAACAACACATCAGTCCACTAAAACACAACAATACAAACTGCACACTCAACCACATGCACTTGATAACAATAACTTCTATCTTATCTGAAACAATACACTAATTGAAAACAAAACTCATTATTTTATTTAATATTTACAAAGTGCTACAAATACTGCAAAATAGCATGCTCTCAACAGAACCAAACACTAAGACAATATCCAAGAAGACACTAATTGGGACTCAACACATAAATTTTTTAACTACAACAACAAACCCAATACTCATACTACCTATCTCAAATATTTACAACTAAAAAGCTTCAAAATCAAATTTCTATTAGATGAGCTATTAATACTACTAAACCTATATTACAGAAAATTCAAAACATACACCAACCTTATGTGCAATTATTGCATTATACATATCAAAAACAATTCTCACTAACTTGAATGCATAGCAAACCCCATATCTTTAAACCAAGTAATTCAACGAACTACTTCCAAATTTCTTACTAAAAACAAAATTGAACTACAAAACACATCAGCATTACTACAGCAACTCTTTTAAATACCAAACAGCATACACAACCTTCTTAGACTATAAGGCTTAATCCCAAATAACCTACCTTCAAATAGCAATATTAATCCAAACATGTTTATTACTCTACTTCACAAAATATTAAATAATATTTACAAACAAATATGAACAGAAAGATGCAAAGTGTATATCAAAATAGCCAACTAACAAATACACTAACAATTACAACTTCAAAACACTTAGCTACAGACCAAATAATAGCAATAAAATATAAAAAATAGGCAACCATTTTTTTACTACTAACCTATCTACATCTTACATTGCAACACTAAATCTAGAAGAGGTCTGACAGCCTACTCTAGTAGAGTTTTGGACTGAGGATAAATTAGTCCTAGCTATAGATCCATGTAATAATTTATATAATTCATTTTTATTAATATAATACCAAATTGTTCAATAAAGACTGAGGCCAGGCCTTACTCTTAAAATAAATATATATAAAAAAAAAAAAATTTGAATTAAAATAATAATAATAAGTAAAAATTAATTATTTTATTTGGAGTGTAGTAACTTAGTGAAGTGAATAAGTTGTCAATCTCTCAGTAGTAGGTAGTAAGTTCAAAACCTATTAATAGGAAAAATTTGGATAATCACCTATGTAATATATAGACAATATTAAGATGACAGCATTCTATCAATTAGCTGAGATAAGATATCTGTAATACAGTCACATCAGCATAACTGACAGGTTATAAGGCATTTGTATAATATTGGAGTTATACAAATAAATGCAAACTGGCATCAGGTAATGCAAATCTAAGATAAGTTCTTATGGCTATGTTAATCGATTAAGATTATATAATAAACTAGGTTTGAACAAATTTGATCTAATAATTTTAAAAGTTATAATTTGTTTTGAATACTACATATATACATACATGCATACATATATATATAATATTAATTCAACTTTATATAAATTAAATCTGATGTAATAAACAACTATATTATATATTGTTAACTTTTAAAATTGATTTTAATATAAGATCTTTAGATTGTTTTATTAGCTTAATACAGAAAAAAAACAAGATTAATACTTAAAACCTTAAAAAAAAAAAACACTAGAAAAAAAATGCTAATTGCTATTCTAATACAGTACTAAAAGAAAAAAAACACAATACTTTTTTCTGTTTACAAATATAAATTTAGCAATTCTAGTCTATATATTACTTATCTAAATTAAAATTTTTTTGTAAACATGTGTTTTGGTAATAATTAGGTTTATAACAAAACCTGCAAGCTCTTGATTTAGCTGATTTTTTTTTAAGTTGGTAATTTTCTTGTGCACTTTTAATATGTTCTTTGCATAATGCTTCTTTTCTAATATAATATGTAGGATTTAAAATATTGTTAATAAAAACTAATTGTTTATTATTTATTTGTATAGCGACAACCTCTTTTGCATTATAACATTTCTTTAAAATTCAAAGTTCTCTATTTTGTATTTCTTTTTCAAGTTCAAGTTGCTTTTTTTTGATATAATCTTTTAAAAAAAAGCCTAATTTATAATTATTTTTATTATTACTTTGTAATATCATTGCTTGTTTTGCAAAACTCATTGTTTTATTAAGACTAATCTTTTTTTCTACATGTTCTTGAAACTAATTTTTCTAATTATCAACTTGAAGCAAGTTTATTTTTGTTGCAGTACTTAATTAATATGTAGCCGAAATTAATTTAGTATTATAATTTGATGTTAAAAATGGCTCTTTAACATGTTCAATCTCTGTTACTCTATCCTTAAACCATTGAATAGGCAATAGCATTATATAAAACTATATAAAAGTTGAATCAACTAATATACTAAAAAAGTGCCAAAATACAATTCTATAATTAATTAATAAAAGATAGATACATGAATAACATTCATCTTTAAACAATACAACATAATAAATATATCTAGCCAAAGTTAAATATATAACTTTTCAAACTTTTTAAATAATTGAATATTCATATTTGTTAATTAAAGTTAATAAGTATAATTTTGAAATGTTATATACATTTTCAATAAAATCATTATTGCATACAACTTCTTACAATTTAAGTATTAAATCTTAGTATCAACTCAAATTAAGCAATTTAAGGAATAATAAAACCTTACTAAATATTAAACCTATCATTAAATATAGATACATATTACTTACTTGGTTATTAAATTCAATATTACTAAGCAATATTATCTGTGCTCTAAATATAGTAAATTCAACAATTTGGTTTTGTTGTTTTGCTGCTAAATTAGATGTCAAATATTTATTAATTTGTTTAATAATTTAAGAGAAAACATGTTGTAATACAATTTGATTATTGTAGTTAATTCGATTTTGAGATCATAGAAGAAATCATTAATTAAGATTATCATATTCATGATGTTAATGAATTGTTTGCATAACTTGTAATAATGTTGATGTGCTATTTACAGACTTTTAATTAAATTGCTAAGTTCTTTAACCCTTTGAGTTAACTGCATTCCACTAGTAGAGGTTTTAAATGTATAAGCATACACTTATAATTTCTTAATAGATAATAGTTTTTGAAGATATAAGAATGCAGTTGGATATAAAATTAAGAGATTTGCAAATTATGCTTTAAATCCACTTTTATTTAAACTATTTTATATTAAATAAAAGTCTCAAATAAATTCTGTATAATGATCACCAAGTTTGCTTCAAAGGTTTTTTAAAATATTCTGACCTAAATAATATAAACAAAAAATATGGTTTATATTATAAAGACTACTAAATACATGTTTTATAGAAAGATCTTCATCTGTTATTAGCACTCTTGGCAAAATTTCAGTTGCATCCTCTAGTTGTTACATTTCTTATTGAAATAATTTAATTGTCTCATTAGGCATTAAAGCCTGTGCAGCAATTTTGGTCTTATTGTAGTTATTAACTAAAACAAAAAGACAAAGGAAATTTGTAATGATTTGTTTGTGCTGTATTATCCTGAATAATTCTATTACAAAATCAGATCTATCTTTTTTGTTGTTTTAAATCTATTCAAAAAATTCCATGAAGTTGACTACTAACAAAATTAATTAATAGTTTAATATACTAATTTGGGTCTGCCTCTTTATATTCATAAAGCTAAATTAGAAGTCTAGATGAATCATTTCCTTCTATATGATGTTCATGCTGTAGTTAAGCTACAACATTTGCTAGATCCTATGTTAAAAAAAGTTTATCAGAATACTTAGCAAAAACAAGAAATTATATTGTTGATAAATTGCAGCAACTATTAACTGCTAAATGATAAATATTCTTACAGCACTCATCAGAGAAATGATGATTAACAGATTTAAAAATCATAATATTAAGTGAAAGTAGTGCTCAATTTGATTATCACAAAAACTAGTAATATGAACTAAACCTGTTGCTAATAACAAATTAAGTTGCCAATTACAATTAAGTTTTTTTAAGCCTTTATTATATTAATTTTGCAAATTTACTGTTTTCTTTAGTTGAAATGTGCTGCCAACCTTGCATTTGAAATACAAATTTGTTAAACAACCATTGTTATCAGTTTTATTATATATTTTAATTGGAACAAAACTTTTTTGATGACCCTACTGAGCAATGTAATGCTTTGCAATAGGCCAATTAGGAAAGATATCATTAATATCAAATACTATTTGTTTATTAATATAAGATAATAGACCAGATATCTTAACCAAGTGTTGTCCTTTATAAATTCTATTATTCTGTACATCCAAACTTTTAAATAGTTTACTAAAAATTTTCAAATTTGATTTCATAAATCTTGATTACTACTGTAAACAGTTATTATTTAAAGTTACAAGAGTTAAAAAAACAAAATTTAGTAAAAATAGAAGTCAAAAGACAATTTTAAATCTAAAAAACATGTGTAAATTAGCTACTAACACTTTTTTCTAACTTAATTTTATTTGCTTACTAGAGGTAATTACATATTAGAAATAAAGCAGTTTATCTTTTTTGGAAGCAAGAATAACTAGACACTTGTTAAATATCTACTACCTTATTGAACTTAGAAGAACAATCAATACTTTAATTAAGAAATACCAATTAATGTCAAAATACTAACATAAGGTTGATAATACTATATACAATAAAAGTATAGTTTGTTATTATTCTTTGCACAAGTCTGTTTTATTATTTTATAAGATGAATTAGAAAAAATTTAATACTATTACCTTTGCCAAAGATAGAAAAAAAAACTTGTCAAGCCAAAAAGGTTTTTTGTCAATTATTGTATTCAGAACAATTAAAGCTTTTACTGAGCAAACAACTAATGCTTTACTGAGCCTATTACAATAATATTAAAATACAATGCAATATTAATACAGTTTGGTCTTTGCTGTTTTGTTATTATAGTTATTTTTACACTACTACTAACAAGTTTATGTTTATCATTCCACAAAGTAAAAGCAAAAAACAGAAAGTACAATAATTTGTATTTATGTCTCTTTTTATATATGTATGTACTTACTATATTTTTGAACTCCTTTTGCATCAAAATAAAATCTATTATTTGTATCATATTTGCATATATATAAATGTTAGACCTAGAATTTGATATACATAAACCTAGTAAAACAAGTTTTTAACAATGCAAATAAATTGATTTATACTATTTACTATATATATCACATGACTTGGTGTGATTATAATACAGTGTTATAAATATAATATTTCATATATTATTTATCATAGTTAGAAAATATTATAATTACAGTTTTTAAAATATTTCATAATAAAAATAAAATACTAACTAATAATTATTATTAATCTCATTACTAATACTATATATTTACTCAAAATTAATTAATATTACAATTAACTACTTGCTATAGTCATATAACTAGAAAACTTTGTCTTTTACAACCAACATTAAAGCAGCCACCACCTTACTAAAAGATACATCCATTGTAGTTAGTAAGAAAAATGAGATAAGTAGACAGGTAGACAAGCCTATTTATGTGGAAGGCCAGGATAATGATGGTCAGATCCAACATACAGGTCAGACTATAGTACCTTGCTCAGCTGTAAGAGCCGAGCATATAGTAATTGATTCTGTAGAAGTCAATTTTGAAAGATCATTTACAATATCTTTAATCCTCTATGATCTTCACACATGTTTTAACAAATTTCAACTTTATTACAATTTACCATTTCTCCCTTATGGTCAAACTATTCAAACTTTAATTCAACACATTGATAAATATTTTAATAACAAAATAGTATCCTGTATCACATTTTCTGTTAATTCATCTTATAATGAAACACACATATACCTTCCTAATAACACTCTTTTACCGAACCACATAGTCATTGCTTCTTATCTTCTTCCTATATTCTACAATTTTCCTCTTAAATCTAACTCCTTTAATTCTACTTCTATCTCATCTGATTTATTTTTTGACAACCATTCTTTAATCTTTAATTATAATTCTTCCCCACCTTCATCAAATTCAGCATTACATTATCTTAACCTAACTATTGCTACATATAATATTAGAGGCTTTAATGATTCTACTAAGAGAGAAGCATGGCAGAATTATTGCTTCAATTATAACATATCCATTGCAAGCATTACTAAAACAAAAATTTTTGACAAATCTAATCTCTTTTTCTGCAATAATAACTTTTTTACTTACTACTGGTCTAATTCTCCTACCTCTATAGAAGGCACTGCTATTATGATTCGCAACTATCTTAAACCTTATATTCACAGTATTCATACCCATCATAGAGGTGCCATAGCACTTGATATCTTCTTTCAAGTAATATCAAGCTTCACATCATTTCAGTATACCTATTATCAACTAATACTTCTATCTATTATCAAACTAAAATAAAGTAATCAACTAGATTCAACAAGCCTCACAACTTTATATTAATTCTATTATTCTTGGTGACTTCAATATACAGAATAATTCTCACAGCTCCTTCTCTAAATATAAACTTATTAATTTTCTTAATAATTCTAACATGTATGACATTGAAGCTTACTTCAATAACAAACACTCTACCTGGTCTAACAATACTAGCAATAGTCATATTGATTACATCTGGACTAACCAATTCAATATACAATTTCTTCTTTCTTACAGTCTTGATAATAGCCAAACTTTTATCTCTAGTGATCATCTAATTTTTTCTTCTACCTGGACTTTTCCATATGCTTATAGCAAACCTATATATAAACATACTGGCATTAATCGCTATATTTTCAACTGTCTACAGAGGACTGGGAATCTTTTGCAAATACTTTATCTCAACAACTCCTATTACACAAAACTTCTACCAATAATGAAACTCATGAG